CTGGATATGTCTTCCAATTTATCTGTAAAAATGAACTGATCGGTCACCAATTACATACACCCAAGTAATCACAATGAATCCACAGTAATCAGATAAACAAATGGCTGAATCACAAAGAGCAATATAGTAATTTTAACAGAAGGCCACTTCAGCAATCTGAAGAAACTCTTGATGTAAAATTCGTCATCGCCGCAAAATTTAACACCTAAGAGCATGTTTATTTACAAACAAATTTGAATAGGATAGTTTTACTTTAAGTAGAAAAATACTAGCTTTCAAGTTGTTCGAATAAGTTACTTTTCGTTACTTTTAAGTAGAGAATTACTCATATTCAAACAAACTCTTGCCTTTTTTTTCAATAGCCAACTTATTTCCAATTTTAATCGATTCAAAAACAACTTACTTACTCATAAGTAAACTTATTTATAACTAAACATATTAAGCATAGCCAAACAAGCTCCTAGTTTGATTTTGCATTTCCATTGACACTCATCTCCTTTATCAAAAGAAGTGGATATATAGACCTTTCGAACTGAGCTTCTAACATCCAAAGTAGATAGAAAGCTAAATGGAGATTGCTGTTCAGAAAGTATTGAGAATGAACTTCAAGGGAGATTGCTCCATATTTCTTGCGCACTTTATTTCAAAAGATGGAACTATTTTTTCCTCAATTAATACTCAGCAGGCAGATCAAAAGTGAATTTAAAACTGAAGTAGGATGCTATAGAACAATTATAAGAGAAGGGGAATGGGAAGAGAAGAAGAGAAAGGAGAGAGGTAGAAAGGGAAGGAGAATTAGACGGATGGAAGGGAGAGAAGAAGAGAGAATTTAGGGAGAGAATATCAAATTTTATTCATTATAAAAGGTTGTTTCTATTACAATGTAAAATCCCTTTTCCTATTTCTTCAATGTGGAACTTACCCACTCATCAGTTNACCATTTGAAATTTGAAAATATTAATGTGGAACTTACCCACTCATCAGTTTTGATGTTAAAACACGGACAATGCACATGCCACATTATAAAGACCACCTACAAAGTTCACCAAGAATTATTGTCAGATGATAACATATGCTATCTTTTTCAACATCTTCTGTTAGCACATAATCCAAAATCTCTATATCGGTTGATACATAGAGGACGAAGAAAAAAGGGGCACCTGCCAAAGAACTTGAAACAGAGAAAACAACATTGTACTAATGGCCAAACTTCGTCTACAGAATCAACACAAAGACGACATTATGAGGCTATACCATGCCAAAGTACAGTCACAAAACTAGATAGGAATGCATGCAAGAGAATAGATCATGAAATAATGCAATCCCAAGTGCATCAGGAGGATTAAGCTAGAGAACAATTACATACCACCCTTTTAACTTCATCAATGGTCTGAAATCTTCCTGCAACTATAATTCAGGAGAAAAACTAAAAAGATTGATAGGCAAAGAACAAGATAAAAAAGAGAAGGGAACCTTAGGAGTTGAACTTCCTTCAATCAGAATAATCGTACATATTAAGCAATACAAACAGGTCTTATGCCAATGTTTTTAGGCAACATAACCAAATAAATTTTAAACCAGGGCCCTATTCCCTCCCAAATAAAAGCTCAGTCTTCGCCAGATACATGCTCTTTTGAATCAAATTGTTTTAGCATTATACATCCATAATTATATGTACTTACACCCAATCGAGGTTAACACTAAATGTGTGTAAAATCTATTACAGCAATCCTTCTGTTCCCATGTATGTCTAATAAATATAACCTCATGCATGAAGTTCTACATGGAATTGGGCAAAAGAATTTGAATTGCAAGGTTATTCATTTCTAGCATTTGGGAACTCCATTTTACAAGGAATTGTAAAAGTATTCAATCAGCAATTGGTGAATCCAAGTTCATGGTTATAGTTTTCTGATGTTGGACAAGCTCCATCATTATCTCCCACGTGAAACCTTCAATTGCACGTGGAGAGGTCAAACACAAAGGGATTGTTTTAGCATTTGCCAATCACTACTTAAACACGGTACACTTTAGCACAACAATGAACAATGAGTTGTATTCATGAGATGTTACAATAGCAGACAAGAACAAAATCTGAACCAAGAAGCCCACCTTCTCCTTCCTAGTTTCTCATACCTATTATAAGTATTTTTATTTCAAATTATTATTTCCCTAATTCTTTTACAACACACTTTTTGAGTCCCTTCCAAATAGTAAAAGATTCAAATTCAGGTATTTTTCAGAATTTGATATATCAAACAAGAGCAGAAACAAACAACAGTCTTACACTGAGATGCACATGCAACACATGAAGCCTCAGATATTACAAATCCAATACGGAGCAATACAAAGAAGAAATGATTCTCGTTTTAATTATCTCTGCTATTAGAACTCAATAGTATACTGACTTATCACCCAGACGATGTATCAGATGACCCAAGAAAGTCAATATTACCTATACAGTTTCCAAAAGCTGGACAATGGTGATCTAAACCATTCACATGTGCATCACAGTACTTGCAATATCTTCCCCTCCGTACGATCAAACCCTGCAACAGAGCATGAAAGAAAGTTTGGGAACAATCGAGAAATTTCTGCAGCTAATATTGCAAAGCCTTGTAAAAAACTAAAAAGTAGAAAAACACTCACTTTATTTTTATAAAGGATGGAGCAAAAATTGATGAATTTCAAAGAGTGTTACTATGTTATTTGTCTAATTTACATTTCTTGTAGAGGATTATGAACCTGGTCTGTACTTAACAATAACTTATTCTAAATTTGCTTTTAGTTGCTCGATACTATACTTAGCCAGCAATTGAAGCCCATCAAGATGGATACTAGCAGGAAAACCACATAATAAATAATCGAGCAGCATTTGCTAGTCAATTATCAAACACTACCAAGGCCTCAAATGTTTAAGGGATAAAATCTCACGTCAAATAAAGATGAAAATATAGATCAACTTATAAGGGTTTGGACTACTCATCTTAATAAGGTTGACATTTTAAGATAAAATCCCAAATCTTAACAATGTATCAGAGTCCATTAAACTTCAACGAGCAATTCGATTCGATTAAAATTCAAGCGAATTTCAAGATTGGTCTGCTCAAACGAACTACCATCTTCCGGGGCATGTTAAAGATGAAATCTCACATCGAATAAACTACCATCTTCCAAGGCATGTTAAAGATGAAATCTCACATCGAATAAAGATGAAAATATAGACCAACTTATAAAGTTTCGAGTTACTCCTCTTATTAAGGTTAATCTTTTAAGATGGAACTCCAAGTTTTAGCCCCCGTTTGACACCCTTTTTTTGGCCAATTTCTCGTTTTTCTACGGTACTTTTCCACCCATTTTTGATTAAATGCGAGACCCATGTCTGAAAAATTCAGTACTTACTATACATTTCCTGCGCACAAAGTATAGTTGCAATTCAAGTCAAATTTTCAAATGTCATAAATTCTATTTTTGCCCTTTAAGTCATTATTTGTTTCTTTCAAACAATATCTCCATTGAGAGGGCAAATATGTCCAGGTAATACAACAACCTTATCATCTCTGCATTCAATCTGACGGTTGATTTCTTTTGTCTGAAAATTGTAGGAGGTCACTGTAGAAAAATGAGAATTTTTCCAAAAAAAAGGGTGTCAAACGGGGGCTATGTATATTTGCTAAAAAGTAAGGATGAAGCGATAGAGAAATTTATTCTCTATAAGAATGAAGTTGAAAATCAACTTAACAAGAAAATTAAGGTGTTGAGAAGTGATAGAGGTTGTGAGTATGAATCACCGTTTGCTGAATTATGTGCACAATATGGAATCATACATGAAACCACCGCACATTATTAACAGCAACAAAATGGTGTTGCTGAAAGGAAAAATCGCACCTTAAAAGAAATGATGAATGATGACGGCTGATTTCTTTTGTCTGAAAACTGCAGGAGGTCACTGTAGAAAAACGAGAATTTCTCCAAAAAAAAGGGTGTCAAACGGGGGCTTAATATGGTATCAAAGCTCATTAAATTCCAACGAACTATTTGATTCGATTAAAACTCAAAAAATAAGCACACAAATTTCAAGGTTTGCCGTTTTACACGCCGTTATGGATATGAAAAACTAGACCGTGAACACTTTAAAAAAATGTAATGTTTCGACTTCATTTGATATCCCGTAATGATATCAAAAATTGATGTAAAAATTAGAAAAGGGTTGGTGCGTAAAAAGGACAAAGATGGTGGGGACAGTGTGTAGGGGGAAAGCAAATATATACTGTCAAAAAAACAATGAGAATAGGTCTGTTAATTTCAAAATCATCTTTTTTGGGGTTCATTAAATTCTCTTTGGATAGTTTGAAGGTCAAAAAAATGAATTATTTGCTTAATCTCTTTCTCGTGTTTGGTATGGTTTGATGTACTTTTATTTATATATGTTTTAAGATAATTTTTTTGGATGACTTTTTTGATGCAATTTGTTAAAAAGATTTTTAGTCAACATTAGGCATTGTTTGAGAATCATTTTTTCCAAGTACTTATTTTTAACCACGTATTCACACAATAAAATATTCTACACGTAAATTTAAAAATTTTCTATTTTTTTAACCATACATTCTCTTAAAAATCATCGTTCAAAACATTATTTTTTGGAAATAATGACCACCAAACAAGGGTCGATACAATCTTGTTATAGTGACAAACTCGATGACATGTTCAATGATAGAAGGAACATAAGTCAATGAATGATTGGACAATTTGGAAAAAATAAACAAACAAATACACAATTATTGTCTGTCAGGCCACCTTCACCTTCATTCTTGTCATTAAACCTGTCAAAGGAGCATTTTCGGGGTAGATACCCTTTGTCAAGATAGAGATGCATAGTTGATGTGATTCCAAGGAAAAATGGTATAATTGGCCCTCAGCCTATTGTCTAGCAATAAGTTGGTTTCAAACTTTAAAAAATGAGAGTGTTAATCTTTTTGTTCCATAATTGAAAAAAAAAAAGTCCTGGTCTTTGTTAAATAATCATGACCCTTGAAAATGTGTGCGTCATTTTAATTTTTCATCACCAACAGAAGTTCATAAAATTGAAGTATCGTGTGATTTAGTAACAAAAGTTTAGACAGTTTTCATAATTGATTGAGCGTGCAACTATAATGAAGGTTGAAGAACAATGTTACAATTTTCTTATAAATTTAATATAAATCCAAACTTTGAAGACGATATCGTAGAACAATAATTAGAACATATAGGATGTTATCATTTCAAAACTTGAAAAGAAAAACGTGAAAGAAAAATCCTTTGTTGATTCAATCTACTCTATTTGGTTAACAAACATTTTTAATAGAAAAAGTTCGAAAGAAAGAGTGTAATTAGCAAGGTTTCGAACAATCGTTTTGTGTCTTCTGGTTTAATTTTAAACAATAAAAAGCAAATAAGAAAGAATTCAAAACTTGAAGGAGTTAATCGAAATTAAGAAAAATGCATAGCAGTATAGTAGAGATCGCTTGTACGGTCATTCTTAAAGTCAACAAAATATCATGTTTATCAACGAACGGAACACGATACAACACCACAGGAGTCAAATTCAATGAGATTAAAAGTCAACACAAATTTGGAACCCAGAAAAAGGTACCAGTTATATTCATGAATCTCACTCCAGTCACTCTCAAATCCTAGCAGTCGCAGAAACAAAGTATTCCACTCTCAAGAAACAAAGAATATTAAATGGAACGAGAAAAATAATTTTGAATTAATCAATATTCACCGGCGAGTTTTCAATTAATAGAGGTTTTGGGCCCTCATCCTGCGCCGGATAAAGATTTTGTTTCTGGGTTTTGGCCGCCGGCGACTTTCCGACAAGGGCTTGAGAGGTCAAGCCATATAGTGGATTCTCGGATGCCGGAAATTACTGAGGAAGGCTGCTGTGCAGTACACGTCTCTGTTACACCAGATAAAGATTTTGTCACTGAGTTCTCACCGCTGGCGAGTTCAAGACGAGGATTTGATCGGCCGAGTCATGCTCTGGATTCTCAGCTGCCGGAAATTACGGAAGAAGGCCGCTGTACCGTACACGTGGCAGTCGGAAAGTCTGTGAAGAAGTCCGTTGCTTTGCTTGAGTGGACTTTTAGGACGTTTGGGAGCAAAGAAATTCGTATTCTTCATGTTCATCGACCTTCCCCGCTAATTCCCACTCTCCGTGAGCTTTCTTTCACAGTTTATTAAAGATAAAATTAACGTATTTTAGCACGGGCCTTCTATTAATTTACTAGAACTGGCTGCAAAATATATATGCTTTCTTTGTTCTATATTGCTGTCATCGTTGTTGTTATTCATTACGATTTGCGTGTTACGTTGCTTGAATATGTTATGCAGTGGGGAAACTGCCGGCAAGTCGAGCAAATCCTGAAATGGTGGCTGCATTTAGAAATGAGGAGAAGGAGGAGACAACAAAGCTGCTATGGAATTACCTGATAATATGCAGCAAATCGAAGGTATATTTAGTCCCAAATCTTAAGAGTATAAAATTATTTTACATCAGCACTTGAAGGCATTAGATTACAAGATTATTTCGATCATCAAACTTCCGTTGTTCTGTTAAGGTGACAAAGCCTTGCAATTTTGTAGTGTATCTCTTTTTCCTTTCGCCATGAGTAACATTTCCTTTTATGGTGAGTTCTGCCTTCGGACACCATTATCAATTTAAGTCACTTGAGGAAATGTGACAATGTTGCAGGTTAAGGCAAGGGTTATTACAACTGAAGCTGACAAAGTTCAAAAGGGGATTGTAGATTTAGTAAAGATACACGGCATTAAGAAACTTGTTATCGGAGCTATCCCAGAGTAAGTGTTTATTCTTCTCTTTGGTCGAAGTCTCTATACTTGCTAACAAACTCAACACTGCATTGTGTAATCTGAAAACTTGTTTGCTTTAAGTTTCATAGTACCGTATTTATGATTTTTGAATGTTCTGAAAACTTATACAGGCTAATAGTACAAGTTCCGGTTGACTGTGTGTATGATTCTAATAATGATGGAGAATATTAGAATTTTTTTAAAGTGTTCAACCCTAACCATTGATGTAGTTTGGTGAAAGGGAAAAGGAGCTCGTGCAAAGCAAGCCATGCTGCAAGACACATTCCTTCTTATTGTGAGATAAGGTTTGTCAACAAAGGAAAACTCGTCTGGACGAGACAAGCTTCTGAAAGCTCAAACTTTGTACCAATCTGTCGACCACCTCCTGCCTATGCACAAAATTTTAGATTTCAGTCTTTACATATTGACAAGAATGAGGTTGTTTTCCATCCAGAATCTTTGTTCTACCTCTGCTAGAAATCACTCTGATCTGGGATAAAAAAATTGGGTATAGGTTCAAACAACTTCACCATGCGTTGAAAGTTCACGAGATGTGTTTCATCGTCAAGATGTATCTACTTCAACAAGCTCCAGCTTGGGTTCTGACTGCACTTCAGCAGCTGAACCAAGAGTGTCTTCCGTCTTCAGTACAAACGCCGAGGAAGAGAGCTTATATGGTCATCTGGCTGAATTAGAAATGGAAGCTGATGAATTGAAAGATGAATCATTTCTAGAGCTTTCAAAGCTCAAAAAACTGGAGACTAATGCTGTGGAAACTGTCGATAAGGTGAAATTATAATCAGTGTACATCATTTTTTCGCAAAGTTTCGATGATGTAAAAGGGCAGCTATGCTATTAAATTTTAATATAAAAACATTGTTCTATGGCTTCTTAGGCCAAAGCTTTGGAAATTGCTTATTCAGAGGAAGTCAAACTCCGAGAAGAAGCTCGGGATGCACTGAGAGCTACAATACAGGAACAAGAAGAGCTCGTAGAGGAGAGGGAGAAAATAACTTACGAGCTACAGAAAACCATGCGGAATATAGCTCTTTTGGACAGTCGGGTATGGGAAGCAAATCGTCAGCATGAAGAAGTTGCTGGAGAATTGGAGCTTATTCAAGCTTCAATTGCAACTCTGCAAAGGGAAAAGCAGAATCTTCGAAGGCAGAAGAACGAAGCCACACGATGGCTTGACAGATGGAGAAGTCATGGACGAAATGGAGATGCAGATCCCAGCAAACCTTTTTGGCTTACAGGAGATACTTCTGAATTGGCTGAATTCTCCTTGTCAGATCTGCAGGCTGCAACCTGCAATTTCTCGGAGAGTTTTAGGATTGGGCAAGGAGGGTATGGTACTGTGTACAAGGGGGAAATGTTGGGCAGGACAGTTGCCATTAAGAATCTACATCCTTATACTATGCAAGGGCAAACTGAGTTCCACAAAGAGGTAAACCAGAGCTCTTCTTTCTTATTTAATGTGCAAGTGTAATCATTAAGATAGATTTTTTTGACTTGTGACGAAAATGAAGGTTCAAGTTCTTGGCAAACTGCAACATCCTCATCTCGTGGGTTTAATTGGAGTTTGTCCAGAGGCCTGGTCTCTTGTATACGAGTACTTGCCAGGTGGTAACCTACAGAGTCGCCTTTTCCACAACAGTATCATTAGCCCGCTAAACTGGAAGATTCGAGCAAGAATCATAGCTAACATTGCAAGTGGACTTTTGTTCTTGCACTCTTCCAAACCAGAAAAGCTTGTACATGGTAATTTGAAGCCGGAAAATGTCCTCCTTGATTCAGAGAACAGCTGCAGAATAAGTGACTATGGGGTTCGTATGCTCATACCGAACAAGACCCTCCGCTGCCCAAGTTTCCGTCATTGTGCTGAATCAATTGGTGCTTTCACCTATCAAGATCCTGAATTTCATAGAACTGGAACCCTAACACCAAAGTCTGACATCTACTCGTTTGGATTAATCATGCTTCAGCTACTCACAGGAAGAACTCCAGCAGGTTTAGTGAGTAGAGTGCGCAGGGCTGTATCCTGTGGGAAAGTAGCATCCATATTAGATTTATCTGCCGGTGAATGGTCAACATATGTGGCTAGGAGATTGGTGGACTTGGGATTGCAATGTTGTGAATTGAACAGTAGGGATAGACCTGAACTGAGTCCAACCCTCGTTAGGGAGCTGGAGCGCCTTCCTGTTCTAGAAGAGCAAGCAGTACCATCTTTTTTCTTATGCCCAATACTAAAAGTAAGTAGTGCTTTTATGCAAGTTGGTAGCATATGGTATAGCAATAATTTGCGTGCTTAGAACAATGAAAGTATAGTTTCATGAAATTCTATTAAGATGAATTTTAACACTTGGTTTCTTTCAGGAAATAATGCATGACCCTCAGGTGGCAGCTGATGGATTCACCTATGAGGGAGAGGCATTGCGTGGTTGGTTGGAAAATGGCCACGAGACTTCTCCAATGACGAACTTGAAACTGAGTCACTTAAATCTCACTCCCAACCTTGCATTGCAAATTGCCATTCAAGATTGGCTCTGCAAATTTTGAAAGTGAAATCCCCTCACTACACGGATCATCCTTGTTGCTTAACATGTATTGTCGTGTATTTCAAGTTGTAAACATTTACATTGAGATTGTGCTAGAACATAGTTGTTGGCATCTTTCGATATTAGTAGTGTTAGGCATTGTATTACTGTTGCAATGTAGTGTAAAAATTTTTATAGGGAGTCTTCCGGTTCTGTTGATTGTAATTTTTTGTTTTATCCTGAACTACGATTGAGATTGTTTTATTTTGGAATAAGATTTCTTTTGTTTTAATTGAGGTCGTTCTCTGTGTTCTGGTGGATCTGCGCAACCTAATGTTCACCATTTTCAAGTATTTAATTGCATCAGTTTTGGGGGGGTGGGATTTCTTACCTGAAAACAATGAAGATTGGGGACTTGAAAACGAAACATCGTATTCTAAACATACAGCGATATGTTATCGAGATTCTGAGTTCATGAATTCTCGAGTTTACAATCCGAGGGCTACTTAAATCTCAAAATCCTGAGATGGAAGCCTACTGATTAAACTAAAACCATTCCGCCTAATTTTCGACATACCTCTGGCATATCAGCAGTTGAAAGCAGTGACATAGTTGTCTGAATCTCAGCATCATTGAAGGGATGATCTTCCATGGGCATATTAATCTGAGGCTCAGGTTTCTGCTCGTCCAGTAGGGGCTTCGAGTCTGCCACGGACTTCCAGCTTTGATCGCTAGACTCCCCCAAGACAACTCCCTTGTTGGGGGCCATATTCTCTTTCAAATTTATTCGAGGATTGTCATTCATTGCTGGGATAGTTGATGAGGGCTTCTCGTGTTTTATTTCGTCCATGTCATCTTCTTTCGAGACTGAAAATAAATCATCCCGATTTCCATGTTCATTGAACTGCGAATTGCATTTATCAAATGCTTTGTTTGATGATTCCTGCAAAATTTCTTGGCCTGATGGAGTCTTATAGCTGAAACTACCAAACCCTTCAATCCCTCTCGAAATTTTTCTAGCTCTATCCCTTTCTTCCTTCAAAAGAGGCCCTTTCTCTAGCAATTTCAATACCCTATTAGTTTTCTTCCTCACATTCAGACCCCAGTTAAATCTGAAATAGTTAAACCAAAAAATATTATGATTTTCGAAAAGTAAAATGAACTTGTTTTTTAGCTTTTGGCTAAAGCCTATTCTCATTTTCATTTATATCTAGGAAGAGCTATTACCCCTTTTCATCTACATGTTGAAAGCTTTCCATTTCCCTAATTACATCTCTATCAGTTTGAAACTCCTCTGCAACACTCTCAGGCCCATGAGTCAACAAGTGTTCTAGCACAATCACTGCATTATATGATGCCCTCCAGTTTCTTTTATCAAATCTCGCCAATCTGAAAAACAATTAAAAACCGAACCTAAGTATAACAAGATCAAATTGTACTGTCCAATCCTATCGAGTACAGTGTACCAAATAAATCCAGAGAAAACAGAGATTCAAATAAACCTTTTGTGCAGGATCTCGATGATTCTCCAATAATCATCGACTTCAAAAGCTGCCCTGGATATGATCTTAAGAGTACGAGCATCTGGCCCTCCTGGATTTCCATTTGTAGCTTCTTCTGCCAGTCTTTAACAACAAAAAACAGTGCAAATCATCACACACATCGCATCAGTTCATCTTTATAGCATTGGACATGATAATAAATCATTGTTTCTTCGTTAATCCTATATAGCACTATCCAATCAGATCTTCATAAAAACTTTGGACAAAAAGGAGTGATCAAAACTTACAATTGTGCTGGTGTAACATCGGTCAAGGCCAAACGGGCAGTCTTGATCTTCTCCTTGAGAAAAAAAGAAGCCTGTTTCTTGAATTCATTGAAAATTGGTGCATTCTTCATATTTCCACTGTTGCTAATGCTGCCTAGGATTGACATTTTCTTGTTTTCTTGGAAAAAAGTAGTATGGCCAAACCAAATGAACCACCCGACCCTATCCTGCTTAGCTAATCCACAGAGACAACCACCCTATATTATATTACACCTGTTTTGTATCCATCAATGAAATGAAAATATTGACATAAGAAAAAGGGACGATAGCCTCCTGGTTTTGTGAAAGGATGACCATTTCAAAGTGTGATAAGAGTGTATGTATATTGTATGTATTGTTCGAGAGTGACATCATGGAAGTCGGACTTTCCAATGTATAAAAGAACACGTGGAAAGATTTGATTAGGTTTTTTGAATATGATTCATTGATTTTAATGTATTGAAAAGTATCAAGTCAATATCATATTTCAGCAATGGAATCCGGGCTTTCAGGTTTGAATTTGAATTTTTCTAGTTTTTTTATGCATTGCATCCTTTCTCCAAAAGTATTGTCCAACATATCCCTAGCCTTCTTGGCCTTCTTCAACCCCAATTAAAAGTTGAATTTAAGAAGTTAGCTTAGTTCATGATGTCCTTTCAGAAGAAATTGCTTACAAACATGGCTGGTAGGATGCTAGTTTTCGAGTCAAATTTCATTTAAACGATGCACACCCGTGACCTGTGCAAAGATCACACATATGTCAAGTTTCATGTTGATGGCAAAAAGGTGATGTGACTAGCACCCTTTAATCAACTTTATATTTTCGAAATTATACCTAAAACATCAAAGAAACGGTGAATCTAGTTGAACTCTTGCCTCGACAAAATAGGGGTACAATGGTCGAATACCCTCCTCGAGGTCGGAGTTAAACGACTCAAGTGTGGTTACTGATAATTTCCATACTTATTGCTTACCCCCTTTGAACAAAGAATGGCTCCTTTTAGGTTAAAAAGGGTCGACACTTGGCTTGTCACATCAAATAAGGCTTAGTTGATTTTATTGCTACATAATCAACTTTAAGAATGAAGCCAATTATTAGAACAATTGCCCTTGTTGCTTCCTGGAAGTTGCTGTGGGAGGAATGATGGGACAGAGGAAGGAGTTCCAATGTTGCATAATTGAAATTGAGTTCTTTCATTCTTTGAATCTGCCATCTAAGCCATTTATGATTTTTCCCTAATCCACACGTTATTTCTTTAATGCGATACTATAAGAAAATGAAAAAAGAAAAGCACGAGACGCTCCCCAAACCTCAACCCTAGCCCCCACTACCATCAATCGCATTCAATCTCGCCCTTACCCCATCCCACCTACGAGAGTGGTTGGAGTATGGAAATAGGGAGAGAGCACAACTAGGGTCAACATGGGGTAGGGGTGGCAAAAGGACCAAGTAACTCGTCAATTTGGCTTGTAGAAGCTTGGGCTTGTTTCAGGACAAACATGTGCTCTTCCTTAGAATTATACAAAACTTGACAACTGTGTCATTTAGTTAATATTGTTAATAGGGTTAATTTCACAAATGGTCATTGAAGTTACATGAAAATTTCAAAACGGTCACTGAAGTTTCAAAATTGCAGAAACGGTCATTCAACTTTCACTCAGTTTCAGAAATGGTCACTGAAATTAGTTCTAGGACTTTTATGTTTTAATTGAAACCTAAAGCACCAAAACACGGTCACTTAAAATTTGGAGGACCTAAACTTCAAAATTCATCTAAAATCCACCTCAATCTCCCAACCTCCAGCCATGGCCCATGGACGACCTCCACCAAGCTGAACCCGACATTTGCACCACCGTTCTACGCCAAGCCCAGCCCCTCTACACCACCATCATCAACCACCTACTCTACCATCCCTCTCTACACTAGTAATTTTCAGAAGAACGTTTATGGAATAAAATCTGCAAAAATGGGCAGACTCTTTGCCGTTCGCGCGAGAAGGGACTTGGATTCAAAAATTGGTGCAGTTTCTAAATCAATTGGTGCAATTGACATGTTACCCGTAGTCGTATATGGCTTCTGAAGACTCGATTGGGGCCAATTTGAGGATTCAATGTTGTGGGGATGATGAATTGAGGAAGACGGATCCCCCGAACTTGAAGCCAAAGTAGGCGGAATTTGCAGATTTAATTCCGGCGATTGGGGGCATTATTGGTTGATGTATGACCATGGTTGTGATCGTCTAGATGAGGACTAATGAACGGATGTGATGTATGACCATGGGTGTCGCCGGAATGGTGATTTCCGGAGGGAGAAGAGTTCGGCAGATCTGGTTTTTTTAACCCATTTTGCTGCTGATTCCAGTAGGCTTGAAGGTGACGGTTGGGTGCTTGTTGTAGTGGGCAATGAGGTGAGTTTATTGGTGGTAGATTTCGGTGGCCATGGTGGCCGGAAGGTGGTTGATTTTGGCTCCCATAGGTGCCGGTCGGCCATGGCTGGAGGTTGGAATTTGAGGTGGATTTTAAATGAATTTTCAAGTTGAGGTCCTCCAAATTTTAAGTGACTGTGTTTTGGTGCTTTAGGTTTCAATTAAAACATAAAAGTCCTAAAACTAACTTCAGTGACCATTTCTGAAACTGAGTGAAAGTTGAATGACCGTTTCTGCAATTTTGAAACTTCAGTGACGGTTGTGAAATTTTCATGTAACTTCAGCGACCATTTGTGAAATTAACCCATTGTTAATATATATAATAGAAATTATATATGTTCAATTTTAGCAAAATAATTGTTATATTTAATTTTTAACATTTTTTTCGACGATTGTCAACGGTCAATGACCGCATGTGCTCACTCAAAATCCTTAGTCCGCCGCTAGATTCTACTCCTAGGGGTATAATAATTTTAATCATATCATATACGTAGCTTTTTTTCTCTCCTCTTTTATTGTTTATTAATTAAAATTCAGTATTATCATTTTACCCTTCAAAAGACTAGTAAGTCTCATGACTGAAAGATTGAGGACAAAACCATCTATCGAGAACCCAATTGCTACAAATTCAAAATCTTAGGTGGTGTTCTCTTTGGCCGTTTTGGGTCGTTTTCTGTTTTCGATTTTCCAAAACAACGAAAACGCGTTCTCTTTCCTAATTTTGAAAATGCGTTTTTGAAAATGATAAAAAATTTGTACACAAAACACAAAACAACCAAATCAACGTTTTAGCTGTTTTCAAGCAAAAATAGGGGGAAAAAAAGGAAAACACGGGAAATGGCCTCCACTGCCCTATTTTCAATTTCTTCCCTCTTCTTCCAATCCATCCCCTCTCTTCCTTCCGTCTGGACGAAGGAGATGAGCTGGTATCGGAGCCGGCGTGGGGAGGTGACTCTTCCGTGAACGCAGGGTCGCGACCCATTCTTCGGTTTGTACACAAAATAATCACCCGTCCTGGCGAAAAGTCACCTTCATTGAACACATAATCACCAGAAAAGAAGAGACTTCAGAGAGCGGCAGGAAGCAAAATGGCACAGGTCCCTAATTTAGACAACGCACCTATCAATCTCACTACCACACGGTAAATTTCTCGAATTTAAGTAAAACTTCTATAGCAAATTGAATGTCTTACTTCAGCAAATTATTTTGTTATTCTTGAAATTTAGAGATCAATCTCAAAATGAGCTGATAAATATTCTGAAAAATGTGAGTTTAATTGATTATTTTCACGTTCTTAATGATTTTCTGGTAATGTTTTTGTATACTCGTTATTTTTCAAATTTTAATTGGGTTTCTTTACTGATTCGGGGAAAGAAGTGTTTGGTGATTGATCCGAAGCTTAGTGGATAGCTATCACTCATTGTCCAGAGTTCACAACTGAAAGTAATTCTTCCATTTTTTATTATCATATTTCTTCGATTTTGCTAAATCTATTTCTGTTGCAGTTTCTAAAATAGTAAAGTTAAAAAAAAAGGTTGTAGGTTGGATGGTGTTCCTGTCACAATTTTTGTCAGTCTGTAGTGGGAATTTTTAATGGGGTAGTTCTCTTCTTGTTTGGGAAGATCAGAAAATCCTGTAATTTGATTTCCAGCGGACTTCTATAATTTTGTTTAATTACTGATGCTGAGAAGAAAAAATAATCTGCTGAAGCAAACAATAGATGAAGCTTTTCGTAACTTTATTAGTACTGTTGTGCTATCGATGCTGCTGTTGCTAATTTGGATACTCTTGTTGATGCCAGTCTAAAGGGATTATTGATCTCAAGAACAAGGTTATTGAATACAACATCACAATTGAACATTCTTGATTGCTGTGAGTTCTTACTGATGTTGTCTCTGGTTATGTCTCACTTGTGATATCTGTAGGTCTGCAGTGGTAATGATAACAGCTTTGTTGTTTATCATTCAAAAAGGAATCGATCCTCCATCTCTGGACCTTCTTGCTCGAGAAGGAGTGAGTCATCTGTACTTTTAATATCCTGCATTGGGCTCTCTTTGCCAATTGGGAAGTTTCTCCCATCATGGATGTATAAATTCCTCTGAATTTTGTGCTAATTATGATCCTTGTACTTACAATATTATACTGTAATTATATTAAGTTTTAAAAGATTATTGTTTTACGACCTCAAGTTATAATTCTTGTATTTTGATATTTTGCTGCTAAGCAATTACAGAGGAATTGATCAGTCAGTTAATTGCTCAGAGACTTGTTCCCACCCCAAAAGATAATGTATATGTATCACCTCAAATGGAAATTTGGTTGGGCTCTTGAAACAAAATTTATTTAGAAGTAAATTAATGATTTTTCTGACCATGTTACTTCATACCAAAGAAGAGGCAGAGTATTAGCACATTATTGCTCCTCTACTTGAGTTAGAGAAGTATGATATTTCTGTGTTTTTTTCTGTCAAAAAGTCTTATGGTCCTTTGAGAAATCAACACTTCTGCTAGTTAGACGTGTAAGTTTCTCCAACATCATTGGTTCCTTAGATGAATTTTACAAAAAGAAATCTTTTTACTGATTAAGATTCTTAATATTTGATGAGGCTATAGCTTCAAATCTGAGTATTTTTTTGGCTTCTGCAAAAAATAACTTTATATATTCTATTCTCTAGTTTTGATTTGCATTTTCTAATTGAATGTTTTTTAGATAATTGCCTTGCGGAGAGCGAAGAGGAGAAATATGGAAAGATTGGTGTTGGCTTTTGGTGGAGAGGCTGTAAATTCGGTTGATGACCTAAACCTTGACTGCCTTGGCTGGGCTGGATTGGTCTATGAACATGTCCTTGGAGAAGAAAAGTACACATTTGTGGAAAATGTGAAAAATCCACACTCTTGTACAATCCTCATCAAAGGTACTTCTATTTGCTCTTCTCCTTAAGTTTCAAGTCTTGTTTGTTGTGGTAATGAAAGAGCGACTACTGATTATTGTTGATATTACTACTATCAATTCTATCACTACCATTCAACAATCTAATGCAACATGCTGTTTTTGTAGGACCTAATGATCATACAATTGCTCAGATTAAGGATGCAGTTCGTGATGGACTAAGGGCAGTCAAAAATACCATTGAAGATGAAGNTAATTTAGATCGTGTTTTTTATATTTGGAAAAAAATATTTCAAGATTCACTAACTTCAAAATTTTTATGTCATTTAATATTATATTAACATTAAACTATTAAAATTTATTGAATAATCAGATTTCTTGAATAAAATATTATTTTAAAAAAAAATTCTCAAAATTTCAAAGTAAACGCGTTTTCCATTTTTATGTTTTCGGAAACAGTTTTTCAAAATGGTAAAGAGAACGCATTTTCAGAAATTTCAAACAGACACTCAAAACACAAAACGAATTCAAAACTCAAAATACAAAACTGAAACACAAAGAGAACTGCCCCTTAGGGATCCATTATCATAAATTGAAAGTTGAGGACTTGCCATATTTTGGAAGATTGAGGACTGTTAACGATAATATTCCCTTGTTCTGTGTTTAAAATATAACTACTTTAAATTTTATGTTATGAAAAAGAAGAAAAATATATATGGTAATATGAAAGTAAAGAACACAAGAATTTATATGGAAAAAGTCGCATGCAAAGGAGGAGAATTCAATGATGAGAGAATATAATGACTTTGTATTTCCAACTTGTGTTCTATTACAATGAAGACCCAATTATATATAGAGTACATGTAAAACCCTAATTATAATGTTTTAAATGTAAAGAGTATCATAAAAATCATCAAATCGCAAAATAGGCTGTGAGTCGGATAACACCAAATCTCGAGTTGCGCACGGCACTCGAATGCCCAAGTTTGCAATATGCAAGCGGCAAGCAACGCTTCATCCTAGCGCTCAAGCGCTTAATCTTTGTTCCAAATCCAATTTTGACATCCGATTGGCACACCGGCGCCCGAAATTGAGCACTTGTACACCCAATCTCTTGCCCCAAAATTTCTTTATCCATATTTTGATCTCTTTTAAAGCCTTTTTCAACAAAACACTAATTCCCAATGGAATTGGGTTACAATTTCATCTATCACTATTAACAAAAAAAGAAAAATCTCCAATAGAAAATATATAAAATCTCATAAAATGAATAATAATTATTTTTCCCTCAACTTGATGGAATTTCAGAGAAGCCATTAAAGGCATTTTGAATTCAGTTTCTTATCTCATGTAGCCAAATGAAATAAATTTAGCAAAGCATATCTGAATTGTTGGTGAAATATTAATGACAAAATGACAGGATTTTTGTATTACTGATACCCAACCTTCCCACCTACATTTCATTTACTACTCATTTTCTCGAATAGTTAGCAGTTAGAATAGGTGATTATTACATAGACCCCTCACCCCAGTTGGCCTTTCAATGCAATTCCTAGTTTCTGCACGAAAAGCGACAACATAGCCCGACAAATAATTCAAAGATTAAGCCTACTTCTGAAGCAATCATAAAACGAGCAAAGCATACACGGATGATCAACATTCAAGCACTATAACTACGACAATTCCACTAAAAGATGAAATGTGAGCAGTAAAAATACTGAAAATGAAGTTGCAGAGCAAAATTTCTTCCATAGGATGTCAATTATTTGGTAAACTTACAATTTTTCTACGGCAGATTATAACCGATGAGCAGTTTTTCACCTTTACAATCCTCATCACCTAGTACAATTCACAACTAAGTTTTCACTTATCCTAAGAACTTTACTGTTGTCATGTTTCAATAGGTGATTAGGAAAAGAACATCAAAAATGGGTTGTCGACAGATTTTTTGAATCATAATCTTTTTATTTTTTTATTTTTCCTAATTATACACATGATCTCCATATTCTTCCCTCCAAAGAAATAACAATTATTGAAACGTCGTCGTGGTAGCGACGTCGATCCCCTTGTGGTATTTCGAGCAGTTCTTGAAAATTCATGCCTGAAAATCAAACATATTCACAAACATGATATCTTAGTTTCCCCGCTTCAGTTAGGAAATCTATGATGAAACAACAATATAATCTGACACTAAAACTTACTAGCTTTTTTTGCTGCACGGAACAACAATTCCTCAACCAAATGTTGTGCAGGATCTCCTTCTGGTGACCAAGAGAGAAATAGTTCAACTTCTGATACAGCCTCTTCGTTTGTGAAGTATTGATAGAGTCCATCCGATGACAATATCAAGAACCTGTCTCTTGGCCCTAATTGGTGATGGTAGAGTGATGGTAGACAGTTGATATAAGGAGAAGTTCCTATATAGTTAATTCTGAACATCTCTAAGAGTGCATCATTCCATTTTGGCTGCACAAACACGAGTAATATAAGCACAAGAAATTTCGAAAGAACATGAACAAAATAGCATTTCCGATGGAAATAGCTGGCATCAAAGATTCTCCTATAGAAATACAATTAAAACGTAATACCCAAAAATCGGTGCTCTATTTTGACAATGGAAAAAGTGTCAACTATTCAGGACTCTTTAGGAGTTTCAGCATACTATTCGTATGTGATAAGCAGTATTACAGGCCCGTTTGGTATGGGTTTCGAAAAGCCAAAAGTGGCTATTGAGGCTAAGAAACTGCTTTTGGGTCTCTTTTTTTTTTTTTCCAAGAGTATTTTGCCTAATCAGATGAATTTTTAGAGGAAGTTAGTACAAGGTAATGTCCAGTCCACCTATCGAACGAGCCAATTAGAAATTGCCAATCCAATTGCATCATCTCAAAAGAATTCCTACAAACCAAGTGACATTTTTTATTTAAACTAAAGTTATCATTTTTCTCTCAGGCCCAGGATCAGGAATGGAATCCCACAAGACGAGTCTTACTTTCCACTAGAATCAATGGCAGAATAAGTTATGACGCATGATAGTGAAATGCAAAATAGTTTCAGGTAAATATGACGGTCGGGATGTCAACAACCATCCCAAATATGTACAGAAAATAAAGCAACTTTTCTCTACCTCAGAAAGGGTAAGCATATACTTTGTTTGCACACTTTTGATGTTTACTCATTGAAAGAACTTACCGTGGCCAATTGAGGAATCTACTTTTCTCAAACACAGGGTTTAACTTTATCTAGGTTTTATCTACATTGTCTACTGCAATAAGTTGACTGCAAAAATCCTATAGCAGGACATACCTGCTTGAGAAAACCAGCACCAAAAGCTCGAGTGACCTTTAAAGAACCTTTTACACGGTCATTGATCACAGCAGAAGCATCGTCCAAGTGTTCACTTTGAATTCTTTGAACTTCCTGGAAATAGATTATTATACGATCAATTAAAAACTAAAACAATCAGATGTATGAAAGAACTTAATTCAGAGTTTTTCTTTTCACCTCGTCCACAGAGGTGCTATGATCCATGGTGAGTTGAAAAGCAGTTAAGCCGGGTAAAGCATTTGACATATCACCATCAAACAACTCGAGATCATGTAATGTTTCTTCATTGATTCTCTCCAAATCCTGGCTCCAAATATCTGGTTCTTTCTTCTGAGCCAGAATTGCTCGACTATCACCCACATTCATCACATAAACATCCTCTCCCTTCATCAACATCACAAGAACACAGGAACCCATCAAAGAAAGCTCGGGATTCTCCATGACCATCTTATCAGCAAGATCCAAATATGCATCCTCCGTTTTCTTCAATGCTTGAGAAAGAGCTTTTAGCACATCCGAGTGATTAGCCGCCCCTGATCCAATCAATCTGTTTTTGTTCAGCTGCTCCTTTAATCTCCTATCAAGCTCCAATCTTTCCCTATCCCATTCACATCTCCACCTCCTCTGATTCTCCTCCCATTTCTTCGCTGTTCCTCTAGACTTACTCTTCAAATTCCTCCCCAGTTTTTTCCTATTCCACAAATCAGAATTCAAATCTTTATTTTCGTTAGGATAATTCTCTTGCTCTACACATCTCGAACAACCATCCTGAGTCCTATCCCGTAAAACCTCCACATCGGAACTCTTAGTCGAACCAAAATCATCAGCTTCCAAGTTTCCATTCTCAGTCGCAGCAGATGAATTAGAAACCAATGAATTGTCAGTCTTATTATTGTCATCCCATAACAAACCCTTGAGCTCTTTATGAACAGATGAATACAAATTGGATAACAAATAATCAGGTGCATCAGGGCCATTGAATCCATCATAAATCCCTACAAAAACCCATTCATGCTCCTCGGAGATCACCACATGAACTCGATCCTCCCCGGCTTTTCCTTGAGCCCACTGAAGATTCTGATTCTCCAATGAATCATCATCATCCAAGCTACACTCACTGCTGAAATTCACACTACTACTGATTGTTAGCTCATTTTGCTTCTCTGAACCCACCATCCAATCATTTTCCTTCATGGAAACAACGCCTTTAATCGGAGCAACAATGGAGTTTTGACCTCTGGTGATGCTCTTTGATAAAGCTCTTTTGAGGGCCCGAATCAGCGATCCTTTCCTCGATCTGCGCCGAAACGCAAAACCCCCATGCGAATAGCTTCTCTGGAACTGATCGGAGCTGCCCCTTTCGAGAGGTCCCGAGAGGATCCCACGATCGAGAGGGCCCGATAAGAATCCCCTCTCAATTGGGCCAGACATGAAGCCACGCTCCATAGGGCCCGAATTCGGAATGAAGCTCGTATTATTGAACAACGGGCCGGAGTAGGTGCCATAATTTCTCGGGATGATTTGCAGAGGGATTGAAGCAAAGGAGGTAGAACTCTCAAAGGCAGAGGCGCGATCAATACTATTATACGAATAGTGGTCGACAAACGCCGTAGAGAGCGGCGTTGACGTGTTGGCGCTAACGGCGGCGCCGGAGATCGACCTAAACGTCGTCGTAGACGCTTCCTCGTATTCCATATGCACCTTAGACGAAGACAGCCTCGTCACCTCGGGTCGGACGTAGCAAAAAGAGTGCCCCAGATCATCTAACGGATCAGATATCATCATCGCCATATCCTTCCTCCGCCGACGGGCTCCATCAGCGTTTACAGCTCCGGTGAAACATACGCTCAGTTTCCCAACTCCGTTACCCATTAAATCAACCGGGTAAAGGGGTAAAAAAAAAACTGAAATCGAGAAAAAAAAAAGGATTCTTGAATCTGTTCAAAACTTCATTTCATTACTTAAAAATGAGTCTTTTGAGAATGTGAGAGAGAAAAAAGAAGGAGGAGAATGCTATTTATCTAACAGTCATTGATCATGGCGAGTCGAGAGAGAAAGAAGCGTTGACTTTAGTGTGGGGAGTGTTGATTGAGGTAATAAAGAGAGAGGGGTGGAATTCAGGTCCGCTGGGATTTGTTTGTATTTAAAAAATAGAATTTTATTTGTTTTTGACTGCCAGTGATAGGGTTTTTCTTGGGTCGGGACAAAATATAATTGTGGAACTATTCGAATTCGGTTTCGTTCGGTTCCGATTGTTTCGTACCATAATTAATTTTTTTTAATATTTACAATAACACAACATAAATACAACTAATGACATTTCATTCTTAATTTTTAAAAATTAACGTAGCTCAATTCAAAAACGTAATCTGATTTATTTAATTAATTTGTTAATTTGTTTAGAAAAAAATAAAATAATTTAATTAGTTCAATATAAAAAATAAAAAATTATTTAGTTTCGGTTCTTATTCAGTTCTTGATCTAGACCCGAGACCCGACACAAACTCATCGATTATCGATTCGGGTACCCGTTCGAATATTTAACTTATGAAGAACAGCTCAATTCGGGACTTTTGGACACCCCTAACCAACGAGGAATCGTAAAAGCAAGGTAGGAAGTTTTCATTTATTGGACATTTCCAATTTTCACCAATGCCACTTTCACTAATTTATATTTGAATATGTTTTACCCAAGCCAAGCGATAGTAAGAAACTTGGGATTGGCATTTTCTTGTAAATCACGGGTAGAAAGGGTCAATCGAATAGTACCATGCACAGTGGAAGTAGATGAAAAAGTCAAAATCGATGCAGAACAACAAAGAGAGTAGTGCAATTTTAAATTTTAAAATGAAACGTGGCACAAAACACTACGAAATTGCCGAAGCTGAAAACCATACGTTTTGTTTTTGTCAACTTGCATATTCTAATTGACTTTGTGTATACCCAACCAACCCCCAAGGGTCCTCCTATGAAAAGAAAAATAAATAAATTATTTGTGAGGTGGAGTGGTTGAAACTCTACGTACATTTAGTATTTTAGGTGCCTTCCATGTATGTGTATCTATTATGTCTTTTCCACGCTTAATTTATAAATTCAGTCAAGATTCAATATTAATTTTATATTTATTATATATTCATAATCGTGACTTATTTATTATCTACATATTTCCATATAATAACAATTATTTTTCTTACTATTCCTCTTTATAACATTTATAAATGAGTGTTTGGTAATTATTAAAATTAGATTTTTAGTAGTTTGTGATAAAAGTTTTTGAAATGTGTGGTTGAAAAGTTGTGAAACCCATAAAAAGATATTATTAATATTGATTGTTTGACTTTGACTTAAATTAAAATCTGATTTTAACCCGAAACAAACAGGGCATAAATTTGTCAAACGAATCAAATATTTCTCGTAATGTGTAAGAATTATTTTGAGTTTATAAGTTGGCTAATGTCAAGGATATTGAGTTTTGAGAAATAAAATTTAGTTTCCCCACGTTACAATAATCTCTCAGGATTTGTCTTTCTCGTTGTTCCGGACTCTCTCGTTTGGGTTCTCTAGCCGCCTTTGGTTTGACCTCCTACACCTTCTAGCTGTTTTTGGCTAGGAATGATAACGGAATAGGCTTGGACCAAAATCCTATTTTTTTTGTCCTTGATTTCGGGCCAAGAAGGTCTTCAGACAGAGACTTTATCCTTGTCCTCATCTTTTCCTGATCCCGATTAGTGAGAAAGTTTAACAGATTGGAGACCTCTACTACAATATTCTTTTATCTTTATTTGTAGGTTTTATTTCTAACTTGCTTTGAAGATCAAGACGGAAAAGATCAAAAATTGGATCATTGAGCTTTGAAATATGAAAAAATAAAGTAACTTGATAATTTCACACATACAAAAAGTTTTGTACTAAAAAAACAGAGAGAGAATTTGTAGTGGGTCCCAATATGGAAGTGGCCTTTGAAACGTAACACACAAATTACTGTGGCATAGGTTAGTCTTGACCGTGACATTCTTTGAGTCAGCCACTTTCAATGAATTTGTTCAAATACTGACTTTTAATATCTTCCATTTGAAAAATGGAGTTTACTATTTCTAGTTTTACCAAGTCCAATTAAAAAACAACAAGTTTGTTTTCTTTAAGGTTTAGGAAAGAATTTAAATTCTTGACAATTGATTAAGATATTTTTAATTTTTCTTTTCATCATAATTACATTTCAAATTGAAACTGGATAGCTTTTCTGTAACGTTAATCTTTTTTTTTTTTTTTTTNTTTGAAGATCAAGACGGAAAAGATCAAAAATTGGATCATTGAGCTTTGAAATATGAAAAAATAAAGTAACTTGATAATTTCACACATACAAAAAGTTTTGTACTAAAAAAACAGAGAGAGAATTTGTAGTGGGTCCCAATATGGAAGTGGCCTTTGAAACGTAACACACAAATTACTGTGGCATAGGTTAGTCTTGACCGTGACATTCTTTGAGTCAGCCACTTTCAATGAATTTGTTCAAATACTGACTTTTAATATCTTCCATTTGAAAAATGGAGTTTACTATTTCTAGTTTTACCAAGTCCAATTAAAAAACAACAAGTTTGTTTTCTTTAAGGTTTAGGAAAGAATTTAAATTCTTGACAATTGATTAAGATATTTTTAATTTTTCTTTTCATCATAATTACATTTCAAATTGAAACTGGATAGCTTTTCTGTAACGTTAATTTTTTTTTTTTTTTTTTTCCTTTGATGATTTTTTATACGTTTTTATTTAGCATAAAATTCGATCATATCTTACAGGATAGATATTTTTATTTGGTCGGAAGAATGTCTATTACCGACACGCAAAAATGAGCGATGAAAATCTATTCATATAATGATTTTCGATTTATGAATGTAATATTTAGTTTATCATTAATAATTGTCATGAATTCTTTTTAAAAAATTTCACATGTAGTTTCTAGGTGCCGGGGCATACTTGGCTTTGACCTTCAGGCTCAAGCTTCATTTGGCTTCTAGAATGGGTGACATTTTCATCTTCCAACCAAAGATTTTCAACATTCATTCAAAACAAATATTCATTTATGATTATTTTAAAACAAGATATTGCTTGTAAAATAAAAAAAAAAAAAACTTATAAGTTGATTAAAAAGTCAAACAAGATTTTATTTCAAATCCGCAAATACTATTTAAAAATATACTGGGAGGTATAGAAATTCCATTCATATTTGTTGAAAAATAAATTTTTTTTTTTTTTTTTGGGTTAAGAATGAGAAAAATAATAATTGTTTAATGACAATATTATATTGAATGTGAATGTGAATTAATAAAAAAAAAATTGAAATGGGTGACTAAGAGAACCTAGTTTTATTATTCAATTAGAAAATAATTAAAAGTTCATTGTCCACTTTGATAATTATATCATACTTTAAAATTCAAAGAAGCATCATCATTAAATATTGTAAGTGGAGAACTCATAAGCCACCTTCTTCACAATTCATTTGTTGACCAAAATCTATTTTCCACTTTTTTAAACATTTTTTTCAAAAAAAAATTATTTAAATTCTTTTTATGACATGACAGAAGACTAATCCTCCAGTTGTAGCCAAGTTGATGGTCCCCAAGTTAAACGAAAATCGTAAAAAAATTCATGGTTGGCTCTTAAGGTAGTTGTATCCATTTAAAATGATATCCAATAACGATGTGGAAGATTTCGGATCTTGATGGAACGCAAAAAGTATAGATAAGTTATAACTCGAGGTGGTCGGAATGTGTTATGGCATTTCGTTCGTACGGGAGATTATCGAGAAATTGCGAACAAATTACCAAATCCATTAAACATGGTCCCGATAATGGACATGTAAGGAATCTTGTCTCCGCCAAAATTTGGAAATGTCAAAGTATGATTGGAAGGAAGTTGAGAGGCCTAAAATGTGCTGTGCATGCAAAATTGACAAGTTGAAATTTTTGACATTATAATTACTGGTTTGCATAGCTAATTGCCCCACACTCATTCAATCAAATAGAGTTGGCAACAGTCCCTTTAACGTCACGTTTTAGTGTAAAGAAATTGAAAAAAAAAAGGTGTTGGGTTGAGGAGTGTTTGGTGTAGATTAAAATCAGATTTTAAGTGGATTGTGATATAAGTTTTTGAAATGTGTGGTTGAAAAAATGTGGTACCCATGAAAGATATAGTTGATATTGATTGTTGGGTTTATCCGGATGTACCGAAGAGGGGTGACCGAATCCCCCCCCCCCCCCCCCCCCCTCCCCTCTCACAAATGCGGCGGGCCCAAACTATCGGTAGTCATTTTACGTGGTATACATGCGGCTCGTGGTCCCCACTTCCAAATGTGAGTGGGGTGTAAAAGATTAGGTAAAAAATTATGTACATGTAACATAATCTTTGATTGTTTGACTTTGACTTAAATTAAAATCAGATTAAAATCTGGTCCAAACATGCCTGGTATATTACAATTTGTTTAAAAAGATGTTTTAAACAAAAGACGATAAACAAGTAGGAATAAACGCGTCCTTGTTAAATTATAATATCACCTTTGAAATATTAACATCACTGTTGACTAAATGATCTTTCAATGACAACTAATTTTTGTTTGAAATTATGAACGCAACTAATTGACCATCCATTTCTCTTTTTTATTTTAATTTTAGAGGAAACTTCTTGGAAAGTACCAAAATGGTTACTTGTTTTTGCTAAACGTGACTCACAGCAATAGGAAGCCCATTTTGAATTTTAGAATGGGCTTTGAATGATTATTAAAGTGATAATTACATTAGATCACGCTTTACAGGATAATAGTTCAAAAATCAGATAATAAGTTTATTTAATTATAAATCAGGTGTTCATTTAGCTGATAATAACAATAATAATAAAAGTAATATAAAATATATCCAACACCATCCCAATCCAAATTTAATCTCAAATCCTAAAATTCATTTATCTTCATCTTCTCTCTTATCACTCTTTCCACCTAACCTCCACATCCAGCATTGTCGCAACCATCGCTAGAGAACTCCATCGAGCTCACAGTGACGATCGCTCACCATGAATTCATGACTACTGACTGGCTCGCTCAGGTTGAAGTTGTTGTGAACTGCCAGATTGTTGGAGATCTGAAATTTGAGTGCCGCCGCTGCTAGAGATTGCACCATCGCCCGTTAGAGAAGATTTGCATCGCCATCTCGCTGAAAGTAAGGAAACTGCAAAGCCGAAGTCTAGAGAATGGTGGTGGTAGTAGTTTGCTACATTTGGTAGTGTTTTGGGTTTGTTGGTTTTTGGAGTGGTGATAGTTTCCATATGTTTTGTGTTGAGGTGATTTTTGTTTGCGGTGGCAGCGTTGGTGATGGTGGTGGTGTAACGACCCAACGTTGCGTCGCAGTCATTATCATATCATATGTACTATCCGTTTTGGGAGAGTCTATATCCATCTTACATCTCACGAATTTCTGACGCGTCCTCAGAATTTGAACCCAAGACCTCCATCATATAGGAAATTTAAGTTGAATTATGGTACTAATTGGACAACTTGTCCAATATATGAAATTGGCCTACACTTTACACCTAATATATGAAATTTTCCCATTGTCAAGTTCATATAAATATTGGTTGCAAGGTCATAAAGACTAATTATTCGATAATGCTTTTTGTAGGCAGTGCTTACAGATAACAATTTAGCCCATATTTGAGCCACATTCTTATTTTCGTTCTCATTCTTTTACATTTTCAACAACACGTTATTCAATAAATAATATTTTCTATCACATCAATAACTTTTCCTTTTTTTCAACCACATATTTACCATCACAGCACAAAAAATTGCATTCTTTCCATTTTAATGTGCATCAAACACACCATTATGTGGTAAATGGAGAGAGACATGAAAGACTATTATGCAGGGGGAGGACAAGGTTTGTCTGTTATTATAGGATTTAAATTACAATCATGCTACATGTACATCATTTTTTTATATTGTCCCACGAGACAATCTAAAAATGAATAAAGATCCCACCTACAATTTTTGGAAGACATGGGTGATGTCAAAGATGGCATTATTGTTTAAATTACAATACATTATTCATTATCTTAAATTGCAGAAACAAATGATGGTTCTTTGTCTGCTCCCTCTTTTTCTAAATATGTAGGCCATCTCTAACTTTTCTACAAAAGAGTTGAAATATGTAATTTCCATTTATTGTCGCCAACTAAAAGTTCAACACATCACTAGACCTAAGTGAGATCAATTGTCACTTACATCTTCAATGGTGATGTAAAATAGAGATTTAGATCTATCAAGCGATCGAAATCATCTCCAATGGAGAGATGCAAATTACATTTTTCGATAAAAAATATAAAACATTCACATGATGTAAAAAGTGATTTGATCTTTCCATTAGAGCAAAATCTGAATTTAAATTCATCGCGATATAAATGAGAATGCAAAAGTAATTTTGAGATACCAATTTCACACCATCATCGAAGATGCTCTAATTATTATTTCAATACATTTTTCACACAACAACATATTACATACGCCAACACACTTTTTGAATGGTTCTATTTTCTTTCTAGAAGGGCCATAAAATAATATTTCATTCCTGAAATAACTATTTAACTTCTAAACATGACTTTATTTTATAACATTAAGTTTTGAGGGTAAAATTATTAAGTACAATAAAATAATTTCCTTTTGAAGTATTGCCTATGACTTACTGTCCATTCAAATCAGAGCATATTCTTGTCCCAATTAAGACAAAAAATCAATTAAAACCACCCTGTTTGATAGCCATTATTTTAAAATAAAAATGATGTTTTGAATAGTATTTTTTTTTTTTTTTAAGAACGTGTTATTAAAAAGTAGAGAAAAAATTTTGATTTAAGTGCAAAATATTTTATTGTTTAAATGTATGGTTGAAAATTAAAGTATTTTGAAATAATGGTTGTAAAATAGGAAGTATCTACTTACTATACGGGTTTAAAATAAGGCCCATAACTTAAAACAAGTTGAATTTAAAAGCCCAGCCCAAATCTTACTATGACAGGCTTCATAATACCAACGACCAAAAACCAGCCCAATTTCTTTTCAAATCTGGACTTTCAAATTTTTTTTGAAAAGAATTCCTCCTAACAATATGATCACACGCTTTCCTCAAACTAGAATTTTACCCTTCATACTAAGCACTTAATCAAATTCATAGAACAAGAAAGTACAAAGAAACAACAAAAGACGGACAAAAGGCAGCAACCGTTGAAACAGAGGTGTAGAGCAGAGGAAAGAGCGATGACCGGATGACGGAAGAAAGGAAAGGAAAGGAAAGCATTTATAACAAAATAGGAAAGAACTTAATTTGCATTTTTTTGGGGGGGCCAAAAAGACTGCAAATATTCCGATTTAATACAAGATATCAAGTTTTCAGCTTTTTCCGCAATCTTGTTCTTGAATAAAAATGTGCAACAGACACACAAGTGATCCAAGATTTTTCCAGTCACTTTCCCACTGAATTTGGTAATATATTACATAATAAAAAATTTCAAGTGCTTTACAATAACAATTGAAAAATGCATATTCAAGAAAATGATACAAAAATGAAAATACAAATGAAATTGGGATCTAAAATTATTGCCATTTTAAATTACCTGATGAATTATCCCACTGGGAAAATGACTGCCTCTGTAGCCCCAATTCCATTTTCCAAGATTACAATCCAAAAATAATCAAATCTCATCGCCATAGATATAGATAATTCACCCATATACACCACAAACCCAACACTAATCTTTGCAATCCCACTTTCTCAGCTGCTGATATTATTTCCATTCCAACCGGTGATGTATCATGACCTGCTGGACTGTACATTCCGGCCACGGGTGAGAGTGCAATATCCGGTGGATGAGCACCCGCCGTTACTGGGTTGTTCACTTCAATTGGATTCTTCCCAAAAAATTCTCTGGGCAACAAAACTCTGGATACCCCAAAAATCGCCACCGGCTTCTGATCAAACACCGTTTGTGTCACGGACGCCTGCACTATCCCGGTATCAATGCCCACCGACCCGTTAACCCGACTGATATTTAATGTGAAACTCGAAGCCCCAATTTGCTCCGTCGCCAATGTGGGTTGAACCGGATTCACTATCGACTCCAAAGAACCTAATGGGTAGTAACAATTCAAGACGTGGAATCTCAAAACCACAGCTTTTTTGTCCGCCGGTAGAGACTGGAGCTTCACCGATGAAGGCAGATCGGCAAATGCGGCATCAGTTGGTACGAAAAGTGTGATTCCGGCACCAGTCTCGTCGGCTTCAAACTCAGAAACAACCCCAGATGCTTGAAGCATCGATGCCGCCACATTGAATTGGTGCCCATCAATTAGTGCTTTCGTAATATTGAGCCCCAAAGGCGGGCGAGTTTCAGAAGCCATTAGATCGACATTGTAAGGAACTAGAAGAGAATTAACGGAGAAAATCGAGATATTATAAGGAAGAGTTCTAATTAGGGCAAGGAGAGTAGCATTAGATGTAGGAGTGTAGATAGTAACGGCGTTTGAAGAAGGGTTAAACGTGATATTGACAGTGCCGGAGTTAGACGCTGCACGACCGGTTGTCTGAAACAGGGTGGTGACGAGTTTCCCAGATGGCGGCATGTGGCGAAGGTCGGACAAAGAAAGGTACTCAAGGAGGACATGGTATCGAATCACGTCGGCTAGGTTACTAGAAGGGTGGTGTCCCGCCGTGAGATCGGGGGAGGAACTATGCAAGAACGCGTTGGGCACCGTGAGGAGCGTGACCGAGGTGCGCTGGGTCAGATCGGCAGCGACGGCTGTTGTTGTCAAGAGGTTCGTGAAGTCCGAGAGATCGGGGTACGACGTTAACAAATCGATGACATTAATGGACAAAATGGGGAGGTAGTAAGAAGAAAAGATGAGTAAATAGAAAAGGGTATAACTGGGAATGGTAATTGAGTCAGCCATTTCTGCTTCTGTGGAGTGCAGTGAGCTGGGATGAGTAAAGAAAGTGAATGAGTTGAGGAGGGTGGCGATGGGAGAATTATTTAATATTATATATAGAATGGATATTCTTGAACCACTCACTCATTGTGAAATTTAGTGATTAAAGTTGCCGGTGCACATTATCAATCCAAAAATGTATTTTTTTGTTTAATATGATGGGAAATACGTGGTTGAAAAAGAATGAGAATTTATTGATGTGATAGAAAATATTATTTTATTGAAAAATGTATGATTGAAAATGAATAGAAAAATGAGAATGAAAAAAATAATATGATTCAAACGGGGCAAATTTATGTTGCATTCGGCGTTTGAGAAATCTGATAGGGGCAACAAAGGAAAATTGCTTGGATTGAGTAGGCTTCAACTTGAAGCAAATGGGGGCAGCATGAAGATGCAAACTAGTACTTGATTATATATCACTTTATATGATTGTCTAAATGGAATTTCATTTCATGTCTCATTTGATGCCACCGTTGGTTAGGTATTTTGATTGAATTTAATGAAATGTGTGATTTAAAAATTGTGAAACTCATAGAATATATGGTTAAAATTTATTGTTAAATTTTGACTTATGTTAAAATTTAGATTTTAATTGATATCGAACAAGGGATATATTGCATATTGGTAATTTCACTATTTATTTCACCTTTTAAGTTGTGACGAAAATTAGGGTAGTGATTGGAAAATGAAGAAAGTACGAATATATTTTAAATTAAAACGAGTAGCTGAGGAAAATAGTGAATGTATTTTATAGGTATGGACATGATTCGATTCAGTTTGATTTTAAAGAGAATCGATTTTCGAACCAGAATTCTTGGGTATATAATAAATGAAATCATTAGATCCAAATTTAATTATGAAATTTTATTTTATTTTATTTTAAAGAGAATCGATTTGAACCATAATTCTTGAGTATATTGTAAATGAAACCTTTTAATCCAAATTTAATTATAGAATTGAACCGAATTAGTTCCATTCGGTTCGGTTTTGTACCATAATTAATTTTTTTAATATTTACAATAATAAATTAATTCAACCACGATGTTTCATTTTTAATTTTTACAAAATAACATAGTCCAATTATATACAAATAACAAGTTGTTTAATAAAATCTATTTACCGGTGTATACAAATTATAAAAAAGTAAATAATAAAGCTAAAATATCGATGATTCCATCCATTGATTCATTTAAGCCTTCAAATTTACATAACAAAAAAAATTATCCAATTAACAAACAAACAAAAATAAACTAAAAGGCACAATTAACAAACATAATTATGCAACTAATGAGAAATAATTGAAAAATCACAATTAACAAACATAAAAAAGGGTAAATAGCACAAAACATTTCTACCTTTCAATGTCATTGTGCAAAACGTCCCCACCTTTCATTTTTTGACATTTTTCCCCTACATTCCACGTTTCATTGCACAAAATGTCACTTTCAACCATTTTTTAATAAAAGACAATTTTATCATCCTATTCAAATAAAACAAAAAGAAAATGATGAATAACCAATAGCAACTATAGTCCTTAAGTTTTTAAAAAATTACAAAGAAATCACAAATTCTCCACCACTTAGGGATGGCAAGGTTCGGGTCGGCCAAAACCATAACTGCACCACCAAATTTTTTGTCAAATCATAACTGCACCATAACCACGAAAGTCGGTTCAGTTCGGCTCGATTCGTAT